GTCTTTTTACAATACCTGAATGGGGTAGAAAGAACTGTGTTTGGAGTCTGCACAACCTGCCGCTGTGGAGTCACACCTGAGAAGTCACTCTCATGCAACGGGGTATTAAGTCCACCTTTTAATGGGGTGTCCACATTGGTCAAGGCCATGAGGTTCTGGGCTTCCTGATTAACGAGAAGGCAAAGAAGCACATTTAACAGTATAGACAGGCTAGCAGAATCCTCTCTTCTGGTCCTACTATGCAAATCTTAAAGCAGGCAGAATTCTTACACATTTTCTGAATGAAAACCAAGAGAGAAAATGAATACTGGGCCATGGCAGATTTCAATACTTCCATTCCTTCTGTCAACCTAACACATCACACATCAGAGGTTGGGAATAAAGTTTTATGTCAAGATAGCATTTGTGGCCTCACATGTGATACTGCCATTACCCAAAAGCTTCTCTTATTATGTGTGCCAAACCTCTTTATAATCCAAGCATGGGTGGGGAACCTGTGGTCTCAAGGCCACACGTGGCTCTCCAGATCGCCAAGTGCAACCCCTCAACCTATATTAAAAGGATTTGTTCTGTAAAATTTGGATTCAGTTAAAAGGCCACACTCAAGGATCCAGAAGGCCACATGTGGCCCCAAAGCCAAAGGTGCCCCACCCCTGCACAGTGTTCACGAGCATCTCTGAGTCTGTTTCTTCTACTGGGAAGTTTAAGATATGCCCAAGTGACCTATCCACTTCAATAGAAAACAACTCATGGGGTCAGGTTCCCTTTGGAAGTCTTGTCTGATCTCTTTAGACAGAATTAACTATGTTCTGTTTAGTTCCTCCACTGTAACCTGTCCTCATTGCTATCTTCACATCTAAACCTCTTAATCCCCAACCTAGGGCCTGTGGCAGATTTTATTGCCCAGAGATGGTCATTACCATATCTTTCATGCTGCGTATTCTTCTTACAATCCAATCTTTACACTCCTTCCATCAACAGGTAGGGTCTATGTCCCCTCCCCTTGAATCCAGGTGGGCTCTTGATTCACTTGGAACCCAAAGAATGCAGCAAAAGTGACACTGCTTGACTTCCAAGACTAGTTTAAAAATAGATGCAGCCTCCCACCACACTCACAACACTCACACTGGAGTCCTGAAATACCATGTGAGAAGTTCAACTGTTCTGAGGCTACCATGCTGTGAGAAAGTCCAGGTCACATGAAGAGGACACATGCAGATTCACTCTACATTCCCAGCTGAGGACCACCCACCCAACCAACAGCCAGCAGCAACCACCAGACATGGAAACATGACACCTCCAGGTAATTCTAGCCTGTACCTGTCAAGTCATTCCTAACTGTTGAATCTTCCAACTGAGGTCCTAGATATCATGGAGCACAGACAAGCCACTCTTTCTGTGCCCTGTCTGAATTCCTGACCCACAGCAATCAGGAGCATAGTAAAATGTATTAAACCACTGTTTTGAGGCAGATGAAAATAACCAGAGCAAGACTTACTCCATTATTCTATCTTTATTCGTGAGAAAAAATCTTGAATTTTGTATTATCAAAGGTCTGTGTAGGTTCCTTTTGCTATTCTAAATATAAAGTACTTCCTGGAAAGAAATGTATATGGGCCTAGAACTTCTGCGTAAGAAAGAAAAATAGGGATCAAAGGGTAAAGCACATACTCCCAGAAGAGTGGCAGTAATATGACAAGTCATACGTGCCAATATCACAAACAGGCAAAGATATAAAATACAATATTCTTAAAGACCCCTCAGAAATAATCTGGCCAAGGAGTGGGGGGAGTTTGGCTCAGCAGAATGCTGGTGCATCTGAGAGCTATCTCCTACACGGTGGATTATTCTCTTGTCAACTTGGTTACCCTGGAATGTTTCCCAGAATCCCCTTTCCTGCATGGTGTTGGGTTAGAGTTCCTCAAAAGTGAAACAGAGGCAGAGGTAGAGGCAGAAACAGAGGTGACAGAGGCGAAACAGCAACCACTACGTTCTGAAGGCTGCCCTTTGCTGGAGGCAGTGAGAGACCTGCAGAGGTGCTGGCAAGTTTCGGTGTGTCCTTTCTCGGCTCCACGTCCACTCTCCTTTACAGCCTCCCCTAGGGACCAACAGCAACCCCACGTCCACCACCAGACTTCTAGCTTCAAACTCACAGAAACAGTAGCCACAATAAGCCAACGACCATCCACAGACTTCTACACCAACCCGCTTTGTGCCTCGCTTCCAGATTTCCCTCTAAGCTCTGACTCACCTACACGAGGGCTAGTGACCTTTCCTGATCCTTTACTTACCTTTTCAGATCTTTACTTCCCTAGCTTTCCTCACAATTATGTAAAGGACTAATTTACATAACAAATTACTTATTCCATGGTATTCATAGAATACCATAGAATGGTATTCTGGGTCCCCTAACTGAACCTTGACTGATGTACCCTAGGACTAGATCAGAGGCCAACAGACAAGAGCAGACTCCTCATATCCCTAGCTACTACACACAACAGCAGCCACAGGCATGACCTGTCACATAGAAAAGAGATATCCAACCAATAAAAGTTCAGAAAGCAAAGACCAATTTATCAAATTTTGCATAAAAATAACTTAAAATGTATCATAGTTAACCAGGTCAAATTCTCAACTTCTGTCAGTTCATCTTAGAGGTTCCAAAGGGCTTCAACCAGCTGTGATCATTTATTTTCTATTACCTTACTAAGGCAGAGACTTCTATTTGTCACCAAAAACCCATTCTCTTCTCAGTAAAAGAAGCCTCAATTCTTATGCACACATCTGGCTGCCCAGGACAAAAACTTTATGCCCCAGGAGTTAGGTGTGGCTGTGTGTCTAAGTTCTGGCCAGTGGAATAGAAGCAGAAATGATGTACTGGAGAGACATGTTCTTAAGAAGGGAGAATAGTGTGTCCTTCTTCCTTCTTCCTTCTTTCCTGCCCCCCAAATGCAAACACGACGGCTGGCCCTGTAGACACTGAACCTACCACAAGAAGCAGCTGCAAGGGGAAGCTGGGCATGGAGGAGGACAAAACGGAAGATGCCTAGGTCTCCCCAACACCAGGGAGCACCACACCAGCCCCAGTTTATTTCTCTCTCAACATTTAGAACACGAAACAGAAATAAACCTCTGTTCTATTTAGGCCACTATTAGGAGTTTTCTGTTAAAACTAAACTTAATTCCAACAAATATACTTACTTTACAGACAACTTCCCCACATCTTTTAAGAGAAGAATCCAAAGTTACAAGCCCTAAACTTACTGCATATGGCCCAGCCTCCAAACCTGTTTGGTATCTTTTCAAAATAACTCCTACTCTCTTAATTAACATGCTCTCATTACTTCAATATTATTTAAACAATCGGTTTTCAAAGCCTGTGTTAAAAACATAAAAGGATACTGCAAAGCTATGGGAATCAAGACAGTGTGGAGCTAGCACAGGATGGATGTATAGATCAATGGAACAGAATTGAGAATCCAGAAATAATCCCTTACGTTCACAGTCAATTGATTTTTTTAAAGGATGCCAAGATCATAGAATAGGGAAAGGGCAGTCTTTTCAACAAATTGTGCTAAGAAAACCGGATATCCACATTCAAAGATTGAAGATGGACCCTTACCTCACAGTACATACAAAAATTAATTCAAGCTGGATCACAGACCTAAATGTAAGAGCTGGAACTATTTAAAACTCTTAGGAAAAACACAGGAGTAATTCTTAATGACCCTGGGTTGGGAAAGATCTTTTTAGATAAAGCTGAATGTATAAGCAACAAAATAAAAAAATAAACTATACTTCATAAAAATTGAAGCCTCTACAAATGAGAACATCAAGAAAGTGAAAAGACAACCTACAAAATGGAAAAAAATATTTGCAAATTTTAGGTCAGATAAGGAATTTATATCCAGAATACATAAAGAACTCTTGCAATTCAACAATAAAAAGATAACCCAATTTAAAATGGGCAAAGGATATGAATAGCCATTTCTCAGAAAATGGTCAATAAGCTCATGAAAAGATGCTCAGTATCATTAGCTATCAGGGAAATGCAAATCAAAAACACAACATGATACCACTTCACAACTACTCATAGGATGGCTATAATCAAAAATACAGGTAACTAGTGTTGGTGAAGACCTAAGAAATTAGAACCCTCACACGTTCACATTCCTGATAGAAAAGTAAAATGGTGCAGCTGCTTTGGAAAACAGTCTGGCAGTTTCTCAGTGAGTTACCACAGGACCCACTAATTCCACTCCTAGGCACATATCCAAGAGAAATAAAAAA